TATTTGAAATCTCTTAAAACAAGAACAATAATTTTTTTATTGCATGTAATTTTATTATCTTTAAATCTACAATAACTGATTAGAAAAATAAGGATTTACAAACCTCGACAAAAAAAATCAAATTAAAATACAAAAATGCATAATAATTGGAGTTATTTTTGTTAAGACTTTATATTTATTAAAACTTAGATCCGGCTTTCATAATCTAACTGAGATTTATATGATATTGGAATTATCATATTTTATACTTTAAAAAAATACATAAGATACATTTTTGATAAAAGATAAAAGCGTATTAGATGAGATGGGATTATGGCGTTCCCCGAGAGGGTAAAAATTAATAAAAAAATAATTAATCATCTTTAATAAGAGATGTATCATTTTGTTCCTCATACTTGCGAGGATTAATTTTCAAGAAAATAATAAATTTATACTTTTTTTCACAAATTATTATTTTTCTCTTAAAATATTTGTCGGGGAAATATGGCTCATGCACCGGAAAAGTTGAGTCTTTGCATGGGGTTTTTTATGATGTCTATATTACTTTTTTTCTAGTCGCATAAATGAAAAGCCAATGTACGCTTTTCCCCTGTATCTTTTATATAATTGGATTGGGGCAAAATTAATAGATGCTAAAAGTTAAGTAACATTATTTTGAGTAGAAACAAAAGATCTGGCAACTCGCTCAAGATATTGCGCTTGGGACTCTATTCGGAAAGGATAAAGTATAGAACAATCCCCTTCCTCCTTCTCCCCCTCCCCAGCCAATGACCCTGAAACCACCCTAATGATTAAATTATAAAATTATTCAATTAAAAAATGGATATTGACTAACGGCCTATTTGTATAGACTTACTCCTATACTCCTATTTGCATAGAGCTCTACTCTGTCCAAAACCCGATCTGGACATTGAAGATTTTATTTTTTCGACTTGAGACCCAAAAATTAAATATTCTAATTATTCTCAATAATCATTTTGTTTCATCGAAATATCAATCAGAATCATATGCCATTTTTCATCTAACACATTTCATTTATTCATTTAAGTAATTTCCATTTCCCAAATTAACAATTTCCTGTGATTATAATTTGTATGACTAGCTACAATTCTATTATTTACATACAGGGATTCCAAACTGAAACGAATATCTGTTCGGTTAAGGTTCAGACTCGGATAAAAATAAAGGCTCAGGTTCGGCTCGTTAAAAATAAAAATATCGGTTCTGTACTAACCTGTAAAAACCGTTTTGAACACATTTGTATACAAACATACATTCAAACTATGTTTTATTTTGTGAAATTTCGATTTTATTGAGTTCTAGAGGGTTGTTTCTTTCTAGTGAAGCTCAAGATTTGCTTCGTTGTGCCCCTTCATAGTTGTGTCACAATCAGTAATATTATATTTTGATATGTCATATATAATGCAAATAATTTATATATTGGATTCCATTTATCTCTAGGCATTATAAGCTTATATACTAATACTATATAAATTTTGACTAACACTATCAATCAAAATTGACAGATAATAAACTTTAAAACAATTAGAATATAAATTAGAATTTTAGCAATATAAGTCAAATCTTTCACACTATTTTATAAACACAAAATCATGAGGTTCGAACCGGTTCACTAGTATTTTAGCGGTTCGATTTAGATTCGGCTAGAAAATCTTCTAACAATTTAGGTTCAGTTCAATAAAAAATATCGGTTTACCTGTTTAACGGTTCGGTTCAGGTTCGGTTTGGATCCCTACTTACATACATCATTTCTATCAGCTTAAATATAATAGATCAATATTCTACATTTAGCCAATATAAAATCTAGAATATTGATCTATTATAACACTTAAATTATTTTCATTTGATAATTTTTGTTTTATCTAAGATCTATTCAACTAAATAGCCTCAGATTTTTATTTTATAAAATTATTTATAGTGGATTCAAATTTAAAAATAATTTCTGAAAAGATTAGAACTTAAGAATTTGAAACCAAAGAAAATACAAATGGAAAATCTTAAGTATGGAAGAAATTCCTACTTACATTTATAAACAGGGTGAAAAATTTCAAATTTTATTTAGTCGGGCTCGGGTGGTTGGGCTAGAACAATAAATATGTGCTTAGGTTCGGGTCGGCCTCGGGCAAGAATTTTTTGAAATTAGGGTATAATTTTTAATTAAAAGAAAAATCATTTAATTTGGTAAAGATAAACAACAAGCTTTTATTTTTTTTTGCCGATTGAGTTTAAATTGTTGATGAGGATATTAAGAAAATCACAGAGTTTTACTATATGATTTATCAGGATCGTATGCTAAGTTACTTTGTAACGAATTTTGGTATAAAAATCTTGACATCATAGAGTACTTTTTGAGACCAAAAAATGCTTTGCAGGCCTTTTCCATGTGTAATTTCACTTTAGATAACATTGTTTTTTTTATTTTAGCTACCTACCGATTAGTACCTGCACTAATAAAAGGTGTTTTTCAACTATGAAAAGGTTAAAAACCTATTAAAGAAATAGCACCGATGAAAACCGTTTAATGGGTTAGCCCTTTTAAATATTTATAAGGAGATTATTTTAGATAAAAATTTGATTCTAATTAGCCAAATCTCAGAGAAATAGATATTTATTTATAAATTCAAATCATAAAATTGCAATATGATTATAATATGTTCCTAGTCATAAGATTTTTATATGCAAAACTTAATTATAATAAATTCTTAGTCATAATATTTATATATTTTTTATACTAACTATTTTTAATAAACGTATTGCATTTGCAATAAGTGTTATTTATATTTTGATAATATGATCATTTGCATTAATTATAATCAATTAAATATCGTTATGTGCAACAAGAATTACTTATATTTTATTGTAATTATATTTTTTTTATAATACAGTTACTTACAATTAATTTTTAATATAATAAGATGTATAAAATTTATACATTTTGGAATTTTTTTTATTGTAATTATCATTAAAAAATAAAATCTATAATGAAATTTTCTGTAAAGTTTTGTTATATGCAAAAATTTAATTAAAATAATTATTTTTATCATAGAATAAGATATATTGAGTGATCATAAAAAATAGGAGGTTTGTGGGGGGTGGGGGGGGGGGTGATTTTTTTTTCTTTCTACACCGAATGGATTGAATTAATTTACAATTGAACACTAAACATTGATAAAATTTTCAGAATAATGCTTTCAGTCACCTATTAATCATAAATTTGGCCAAAATTTTGTTATTAATATTTTTCCATTTATGCTAGCTACTTAAGTGGTTATGTTAGACACTAATAAAGCACAAAATTTGGTAAATTTTAGAATGGGTATTTCCAATTATTCAGCCAACTTTAACAAAGATTATATAGAGATAACTACTGAAAAATTAATATTATATAATAATTTTTAGGGACGGTCGAAGGTCGGAGAAAAGGGAGTTTGGGGGCTAAGCGCTCAAAAAATTTTTAACCCCCCCCCCCCCATGTATAAATCCTGGCTACGCCACATACAGCGCAAATCATTGAAATAATAATTCGTTTGTTTAAAAAAAATGTTTATTGGAAAATATTAAAATTTGATGACTCACTCAATCGTTAAAAAAATATATTCATACTCCAACTATTTTCATATTTTTTTTCAATGGAAAAGATTTAATCAATTATAAATATTTTTTTTGACCAGTGGAAGTTTTATTGTCCTTAATTGTTAGGAATTGATTTTCAATCTATCAATACAATGGTTATTATGATTTTCTAAATTTTGCTTTTATAAAGAAGTGACCCCCACCTTTCCTAATACATTTTAATTTTTAAATTATCAAACTCGCACGCTAACGAGTAACTTAAATAAAGTGATATTTTAATATATTATATTTATGGTAAGCGAAAAAATTTCTTAAAGGAAAAGAAAGCATTGATATAAAAAAAAATCGTAACTTTACATTTTAGTTTTATCATAACACTTTAACTCTACTAAAGTTTTATTTTATTTTTTTTTATACAAATTTGAAATTATGATTTTAGAAAAAAAAATTCTGTTAAAAATAACCGATTAATTAGTTATTTAAAAAAATTACATTTGCTTTGCATTAATCAAATATGTTGTATTAATTATTAACTCTATTGAAATTGTGTAAAATATTTAAATTGCAATATGGAACATGAAAATTTTAAATCGATTAAATCATTAATCCCTTTATAATTTAACCTAATTTAATTACTTCCTTCTTATTAAATTTGTTCTTTTTTAATTTTTAGGGCTAAAACAAAATCTTTATATTAATTAAGATCACCTTTCGAGAAAAATTATTGTATAGGGTAGAGGAATAAGGTTGTTGTTTGACTAAGATGGATAAATTAAATTTGTCATTAAAATAATTTTAATAGTAGGATATTTTTTATTTGTAGCAAAATGTAAATATAATTGAAGACCTACAGGCCAGACCTTGTTCAGAGTTATTGAGGTCTTGATTAAATTTTAAAAGAGTAGTATGTGATTAGCTACTATATGAAATTCGCGTATTCAGCATAAATTTTTAAGAAATCAGGAATAAAAATGTCGCGATAGATGAAGTTGAAGGCATTCTGGAAATCAAGATTAAGGATATGTGTATTTTTATTGTCTAGATTATCGGAGGGGACGGGGTTAACGTCATTTATCGTACTATATATTTAGAGGTGGATAGGGGGTGGGCTCCATGGGGAGGGAGTAATACACAGCTGGGCTTATATAATAAGAACAATGGGGGGGGGGCATAAAAAGAGTAAATTTTACAAGATAAAATTATAAAAATTCTTTCCAGGCTTGTAAATGATTTCTCTTAGAGGTCTCTAATAATTGCATTTAATTCATAAAATATAATAGACGGATTAGAAAATTTTACCTCAACAGTAATTTCCTAAGAAAAGATACATAGCCTTCAAAAAATGGGTGATACTGAATTGAAATACCAGGAATTCTTTAAAAAAGTTATACTTTAAAAAAAATTACCCATTAATATATATACTACGACCAGAATGCAAATACCGACATGAGAAAATGAATATTTGATGAAGGAACGAATAAATGTTTTGCATCTTTCTCTTTCAATTTTTCGTTGGGTGTTGGTGATTATGGAATATCCCAAACTTTCCAGGCCGTAGATTCCACCCCCTCCAGATATCAGCTGGTTTCTCAGTGAATTTGACATTTTGTACTTGTCCTCAGCATCCATCTTTAAACCTACCAGAATCCCGGTTCCGAACCCCTTTTCGTATTGCTTCCTGCTTTCGAGCTTGATGTGATCCTTCACCCTGTAAGATGGTCTCCACCCAGACCAGGAACCAGAACCTTCTTTATTATTCATTTCAGCACACTCGGCCTCTCCGAGAATCGGTTGCATTACGTTATCACCAAGCTTCCCTAAACCCATTGCTAAAGACGGAGAGTTCGGTCGATTTTCATAACTATTATACTCACCAGTGTAACTAGGAAGTTGACCGGGGTTAGCAGAATTCTTTGGGTGGATCGAGTTAATATAAGGCTCGTTCCGAAATAAGAGTGAGGGAAATTTAAATCGCTCGTCCACTCTCGACATGAAATACTTTTTGTTCTCGTTGATTGATATTTTCTTTGTTACTTCTGTTTGTTCGTTAGGAATGTGATGATCACCGAGATATTTGTTCATTTTAGTTAAGTGGTCACCGGTAACGCTTTCCTTCTTAGATGATACATTGGGATAGGCTTGGGTAAAGCTTGCCGAATCATGAAGGCTTTGCTTGTGAAAAGGCTGAATAGAATTCTTCTTCTCGTTGTAATATAAAGTTGCAGGGGGAGAGTAATGTTGCCATAAGGGTGTAGCATTCTCGTGTTGATTTCTCAAACAGATTTTTGTGGAAATTATAGAGGGGGCTAGCGTAGCGGTTGTCAGTTTCAGGGACACTTTCCCTCCCGATTGCCCTTCTTTATTTGCTGAAGTGAAAAAAGAAAGTAAAGATACCCGGGCAGGTTCTACGGGCTTTACATTCGGCGTATAGTAGTTGCTACTTCCGCGAGACATATTTAGGATTGGCCTATTTTTAAAAAAGATTTAAAAGATTTTGTCCTTTTATTATTTTTTAAATTAGTTAAAGTCAAGTTACATGTTTTTGATTCAAAGAAAATATCATTCTTTATTTAGAATTAAACTTAGCCTGTTTATGATGTTTTTTTAGGGATAATATGCATTAATGTACAATATATAACTCAAAATGGTTTAAAGTGAGAGGACATCATTGTTTTTTATATTTAAAAAATTGATTTCTGTAATTTTTTTATAAATATGGGAAAATCTGTCATTTTTTTTTCAAATTTAATATTTATTTTAAAAATATTTTTGCAGGTTTTTAAAAGTTAAATTTTGAAAAAATTATCATTATTAGAATATTTGTTTAATTTAAAAAATTAATTTTGATTTTTTTAAAACAAAATTTTATTTCATATTTTTGTAATAATATTTTTAGTTTATAATTTTAAAATCTTATTTAAATCACATTTTTTTGCATCTAATAAAAAATATTTTTTATATATTAAAATAAAATAAATATTAATATATTTTTTCTAATCGATTTTAAAGAGATATTTTTAGCAATTTAAAAAACTATTTTTATTATTTTTCTAAAAAAAAAAGACGAATGATTACTAAAATATTTTAATTACAATTTTATAATGTAATATAATTTAATAAGAATTGATTTTATAAAGGATTGAAATTATCTTTTGCGATCAAAAAAATAGTAAGTCATGAAAAGAAAAAAAGATAGTATATAAAAAGAATAAAGTTGAAAAATATAAAAAGAAATGAAAAGAAAAAAGTTAGTAAAGTATTTAATATAGGATGAAAGATAAGCACGAGTATTTTAATTATTCTTCATTCTTCAGTTTTAGTAAATTTCTTATTAATTATTTTAAAATTCGAATTAAGAATAACAAAAAAGGAAATAATGATATATTAAATAAGCTTTAAAGTTGTTCCTAGCTCGGCTAATTTTAAATAAATTGCTTTTTAGTATAGGCTGAAAAGTTTTTGAACTAGGACATCCTATTTTGGTTTGTTTTAAGTACGAATAAGTTTTTATTTAATAAAAAGTATATTTAACAAGGAACATGTTAACTAATTTCGATTATTTTCAAATATAAGAATAATTTCGAATATAAAAAAGTCATTATTCAAAGAATAATTATCTTTCATATTTGATTCAAATTTTTTAAAACTAATAACACTTAAAATATGATTTTTAGGTATGCGAATGGCTAATAATTTCGAATATAAAAAAGTCATTATTCAAAGAATAATTATCTTTCATATTTGATTCAAATTTTTTAAAACTAATAACACTTAAAATATGATTTTTAGGTATGCGAATGGCTAATAAGCAAAGATGGTAAATGCTATATATCAATTATTTATTAACTTACATTAATTTAAATATATTATGAAATATTTTAATTAAATTTTTAAAAAATAATTTAAAATATAAAGATTTATATTCCATCCCTAAGATGACGTAATAGCAGCAGAAATATGATTGATTTTTAATTTTCAGATATAGATTAGCCTATTATTCTTATGATTACATTTTATACAACATAAGGCAGGTCTAAAAAAATAAAAAAACACTTTTAACTTAACAGACCAAAAACAAAAATAATGGCTAAAGATTTTTTGTAGAAAATAAGATTTAAAAATATATAGTTATGGTGATGTGTAGAATTTTCCTAGTAAAAAAATTAATATTTGACTCTTATAGAACCGCTGAGAGAAAACCTGGGTAAAATTAAGAATACCGAGAAGGAGTTTATTTATTTTATAATTAATTCATAATAAAAAAATTTGCTAAAATTTAATTATAAAAAAATATAGAATGATAATAATTTAATTATAAATTATTGCTAGAATAGATATTGAAGGTGACCAAAATCACGGAAATAAAAAAATATACAAAATGTAAAAAAAAAGAATAATGTTGATAAAAACTTCCAGTTTCTGAGCAAAGATAGTAGATAGATAATTAAGTATATTTAATTATTTAATAAATATATTTACATATTTAGAATCCTCATAAATTATCGATATATAATATTTACTGTAAAAAAAAATAATTTTCAAATGAATTAAAAATATTTTTGATAAATTTTTTAAAAATATAAAAATTTACATATATTCGTAATCACCATCAAACTTGCAATTTAAAGATGTATATTAGAGATCTGCAAATCTAGGCGAGGTTCGTATCCGGCACGAGCCTAGCCTCAGCAGGTTTCTGCCCTGGCATATTTATTAAAAATAATATCTGTTAAGGCTGGGACGGGCCTATTTGGACCGGTTGGATCGGGCTTAAATTTTTATAAGATATCATTAAATTTTGTGAATAAAATTGATATATTTCAATATTCTAGCAAGAAACAAGGCGCTAATATTATTATTTGTATTTTTACAATAAAAAAAAAATTAAAATTTTCTATATTAAAATAAATTCGGGTGCGAGAGAGGGGGGGGGATAAACTTTAATTTTATTTCGGGTCGGTTTTTTAAGACAAATAAAAAACTTCTATATGGATAGGGGGGGGGGCGTGCAGGACAAATTTTTCAAAAAAATTTCGGAACAGACTTGACAAATAAGTCCAATGTAGATCACTAATATATATGTCGATAGATAATATTTAGCTTAAAAAAATATATTTTTGATTAATTAAAAATGTTTTTATAAAATTTTAAAGAAAATATAGAAATTTAAATATATATATTTAGATCACTAGCAGCTTTTATTTTATCTCGCCTCTCTTCTGATAAGTTAATAAACTAATTAATACAGGCGCGTATGCAGCGGGGGGGCAGGGGAACAAATCCCCACCCCTTCCCACTTCCGCAAAGCCAAAAAATGCAGATGCCGGATTATATTTTTCAAAAATATTATTGTTAATATTAATTTATATTTGTTAATATTTATTCCTATCTCATATATATATTTAATTACATTTATTTATCACATTCATCTATTAAGTTATTTTATCAATTAATTTTTATTTCAAGTTTTCCTTGGCGTAATTTACCTACTATTTTCAAATTTTAGTGGCGTATTATTTATCGAAATTTATAGTCAAATAAAAATTATCTCTGAAACTCCTTGTCCAACAGGAAGAAAGATATTGCAAGCTTGTCCAACGAGATCGAGTCTCCGACATCAAGCATAACAGCTTTTATGGAGTTAGAAGAGCCGATTATTGATGCTATTACTGAAATATCACAATGGCTTGAAAGAAATATTTCCTCAGAAGCAAGAAAATTATTGGATTCAATACTTATTTCAAATCTTTTTTTCTCATTAGAATGTGTTGTTTAATTATACAACTATTTTATGTAACAAAAACATGACAATGACTTGATTAAGAAGATGAAAATAGAAAGCTCTAGAAAATTAGAGCTAATGTTGATGAAGAACATATTTTATATGTTATTGTTGAGTTAAAAGCAGAGCTATTACGTGTTTAAAATTTGTCCCCCTCGACTTGCAGCAAGCAAACTCATCGTCACAACATTAATATAGGATCAGTAGAAGAGTATTATAAAACAAATGTCCCCTCTCTTAGATACATTTATAACCCAAATAAATTAATGGTTTTTAATCAACAGCACTTACAAATCTGCAGATATTACTTCCACAAAAGTCTTTCCAACCTTTTTCAGATGGTGATACAAAAAAAAATATATTCGTTAGATTTTTATCATGAAGATGTTAAAGTATCTTATGATGCCTTATTAGCTGAGTAACTATGATTAAAAAATTAACTATGGTTGATACAGTCCCAAAAATGCTATGGGTGCTTTGCATTACTTCAAACACATTTTAGATTATATTCATATATTAAAATGGTTATATATACACACATTTTCATAATGTGAAAAAACAATCTTATATAGTTAAATAACTTTCCACAATTATTGTAAAAAACATTTTGATATAAATTAAATTTTTTTAAAAAATTTTGATAAAATTTTTAAAAGTTTTTAAACTTTAATGAAGACTAACATCAAAGTTATGAATCAAATAGTTTTTTTTGGACACAAGTTTAAGTGGAAAAATGAGAATTCATAAAAAATTTTTAATAATAAAGTTCTTAAACTTTAATGAAGACTAACGTCAAAGTTATGAATCGAATATAGTTTTTTATGTTTTGGAGATAAGTTTAAGTGGAAAAATAAGAATTTTAAAAGATATATATAAGGTTAGTAAATAATAGAATATTATATTAACAAACCTGAAACTGGAGATAGATTCAAAATACAAGCGATAGTAAAATTTGACATTTAAAAAAATGGAAATATAGTTTAAAAAAAAATAATTATAAATTATAAAATATAGAAGTTTAAAATTAAAATTGTCGCAAATTTAAGAAAGAATTATTATAGGTTTTAATTTAAGTTAATTACCGGAAGTTTTTAAAAATTCTCAAAATTTTCTTTCGTTTTTAAAGTTTTTTTAAAAAAGGATGTAATTCTCAACAAGTTTTTACAATAATTACGGAAAGTTAAACTGAAGTGTCGGGGTTTCCGTTATGGAATGGTTGGTGGCACATCTCGATGATTTTTGGTATGCGTCATTTTCGGAAATTTTAAATTTTATTTAATTTTAAAACCAAAAAAAAATAAGAATTATCTGAAAACCCTAAATTCGAATTTTCTTTCACTTATGTTTATTAAGAAATTATCAAATTTCTTATCCCGATTTCCATTCTTTAGATAACTAAAAGTAACATTAATATATTGTAATAATACTTTAATTTAAATAAATTTATAATGTGCATTTAAAAAAAAAATTATTTTAAAAATCTTAGAATATTTTTATTCTCATTTTCCCACTTAAACTTGGGTCCAAAACATAAAAAAATTATATTCGATATATAACTTTGACGTAAATCTTCATTAAAGTTTAAAAACTCTTATTATTAAAAAAAATTAAAAAAATTTATATCAAAAATTTTATCAAAATGTTTTTACAATAATTATGGAAAGTTATTTCACTATATAAGAATGTTTTTTCACATTATGAAAATGTGTTACAACAAATCATATTAATACTGTATTAGCAAATCTTCCCATAAACATTCTCTTTTTTAAGAAGAATAACAGAGCCCTGCAGAGGTACCATTTTCAGGA